AGCCTTACACAAAGCACTTAGCCCTTCTGATTTTGAGTTTTCCCCCCTGCCAAATGTTCAAAAAGGGAGAGAGAGAGAGCCAACACAATGCAATATTAAGTCTTTATCTTCTCCTTCATGAGTACAGTCATCTCTTTTCAATAACTTTTAAGAATTTACTCTATTGATCATCATACCATAGAGCGACTTGTCAGTTATATAAGGATGATTATTTCCTATGCCAGGGATCTGTTGGGAGCAGTTAATCTTTGTAAAGAGCTTTCATAATGAAAAGGTCCTGTGGAAATGATGGGAAAACATGGAAGAGAAATCAGGTGACTTGCAAAGCTATTGGTTAGCAATAGGGTAATGTTTGTGGTGTTGTAAATATGGAAGATAGGTTCTGCCTTTGTAATATCTTATATGCCATTGAGGAAAAGTTAATCTCTGACTGTGTCAGGGCTGTGGGTTGTAGTCGTGTTGGTTTAAGGACATGAGCACACAAGGTTATTTGGGTAAATTTGATATCTTTTATTAGACAAACTCAAATAGTTGGAAAAATTCTTCTTAGCAAGCTTTTGGGTGCAAACATCCTTCGTCAGGCTGAAGAAGCATCTGCAGATGGTCTGTGCTCTTCCTGGGGAGTCAGATGTTAGGCAGGCTATAATGTGTCATAAATCATTGAACCTTGCCAACCTCATCACCAGAAGCAAACTTCCTACAGCACAAAACACACTGATGGGATCCAGACCATGCCAGGACAAAAAAGGTAAAACCTGACAACATATCTCCACCACCTCCACAATCACTACACCCCAGAACAGAACCATCACCATTCCTGGAGCTTACACCTGCACCTCCAGAAATGTAATATATCTCATCCAGTGCACCAAATGCCCTGATGGAAAATATGTAGGAGAAACCAAATAACAACTGCTCACCAGAATGAATGCACACCAGAAATCTATCAAAGACAGGAATACCCAATTATCTGTGGGAGCACATTTCTCACAAAAAACACTTTTTCTCCCATCTCTCAGTTCTAATCCTCAAAGGGAATTTACAAAATACCTTTCACAGATAAGCCTACGAACTTCACTTCATCAATCTACTGGATACAAAAAATCAAGGACTAAATATAGACATTAGATTTATGACACATTATAACCTGCCTAACATCTGACTCCACAGGAAGCACCCAGACCATCTGCAGATGCTTCCTCAGCTTTACAAAGGGTGTTTGTGTCCAAAGCCTTGCTAAAAAGAATTTTTCCAACTATTTGAGTTAATCTAATAAAACATATTGGATTTACACAAAGAACATTGTCTTAGAATGTGTGGAGTTCCATAAGAGGGTACATAATGAGATTTCTTTTGTCAATCCTTACATGTATCCCAACTCTTCACCAAAGAGAAAAAGCCAAAATGGCTGTTTAAGTACTTATATGAGACCCATTATTATATTGCAATTGTAAGTTTGCATAGCCATATGAAGAAAGCATTGTTGTGAAACTGAAGAGCACAGACTTGACAAAAATGTGTGACAGAGTACAGATTTCATCTGTGGCCTGCTTGTTCTTAAGTTACTGCTCTAACCATTGGACCATTCTTTCACATCCAAAGATGCTGATATGATTCTCTCCTAAGACAAATGACAAAAATTAAAGACTTGATAAGGGATTCCTATATATTAATGTCAGTGCACTTTCATATAAATGCAATTACAGAAGATAATGAAAAGTCAGTGCTTTACAAGTAGGAGAGAAAGGAATTAATTTAATAAGCTGTATATTTATCAAGAAGCTGAGCAAAAATGGAGCTCTGCCTTTTTTTGGGAGTGTACTTTTTAACCATGGTAATATAGGATGAAATTGAACATGTATAGGACACAGCAACATATATAACTGTCTCACATATTTTGTATTCTGCATCTTGGATACAAAAAATAATGTACTGCTAATTATTGTTTCAAAAACAAGTCACTGATTTTAGGGTTTATAGTACATTTAACTTTACTCAGAGCAACCATTTGCTTTCAGTCTCAATGAACATATTTTTATTTAGAAAACACAAGAAAGAACAAAAGCTCAGACTACAGGAGTGACCTCAATGTGTTTTTGTTCTGTGCAGATGAATCACATACGAGTTTTATTTTCATAGCAGGAGAGCTTCCAAATCCCCTGGACAGTGTTGACCATTTTAGCCTGTCCCTAAACAGCTTACAGTTTTTAGAAATGGGAAGAATAGAAGCAGCTTCTTCAAAGTAGATTAGCAGCTATGATAAGAACACAAGATAAGCCAATGTCCATGAGCAGTGACAGAAGTGGCATTTGTTGTGTGATTGGCCCCTAGAAAGCACCCTATAGCTGTGCCTTGTCAGAAGTGCACAGCTGCAAAGCACTTTAGAAGTGCCCAATCATGCAACAAATTAACCTTCATTACATGATGCTTCAGATGATGGCGCTCCAAAACAGACTGCCTTCATTAACTCCTGTAAGTTGCTGCATGCAAGAAGGACTGGGCTGAAGCAGCCCAACCCTGCCCCAGGTGCTGTCTGCAGGAGGGGAGGAGGAGAAGGGAAGGGGAGAGCTGAGGACTAGGGTTTGCTCAGCCTGAGCTGGAGTGTGGGCAGATGGATCGGAGGCAAGCAGGGCTAGGGGAGATAGATTGCAGCTAGGCAGCTTCCCAGCTGGATCAGCTCCAAAGTAGAGCTCAATCAACCCCACCTCCCTCCCCCCAACCCCTGCCTTCACAATCCAATAGCGAACATCTGTTTTGTTGGGGGGGAGGGTTAATTCATGGTTCTTTCTATGAAGGACAATGAGTTAGACTGAGGAGCTAAACATCTGTCTGCACCCCAGGTCTTGGATTCAAACTGCTTCTCATCTTGGTAGGTATCTACTAGTAGAGAATGGATCCATTAAGCATGCACACAATTCTCATACGCTGACTTCAGGTGTGTGAGTACATCGAGAATGCTCAGCATTTTGGCAGGATTTAGCCCTCTAGTTCCAAGTCATAAAGAATGAGGCCCGTAAAAAATTATTCCTTTGGAAATGTTCTTTGGTTAAAAATATTTTCAAGAGGTCCTATAAACAAATAAATCTACAGGTAAAATCGGGAGCGCTGAAATCTCGTCGCTGCTTAGATCTGATACGCCAAAAATCCCACAAGTAACCTGTGACAAAGCAACAGATAAATATTTTTCTATTCTACTATTCTTATAATGTAAATTTTAAATTGCAGGTTAGAAACAGATCAGTTTCCCCAGTCACAAACTAATGGAATTAGGAAACAGGGTTGTCAAAGAATGGAAGTCTAGGCTCAACAGTCAAAATCAAAGTTGCCATA